AAATTGCACTAGTTTCAAAAGATCGAAGGATTACTACCCCGTTCGCGACACGCACATCACGTCAAGCGGACGACAACGAACTGAAATTCAAAAGTGCCGGTTCAATGTTGCCAGCTTTCGAAAAATTTAGACCTTATATTTATTGTCAAAATTCCCTGGGATACAGAAATGCTTTTCTAGATGCTACAAATACTAGACATCTGTATAAATATATAAATAAAATAATTATAAAAAACTCACACCCTTCATTAAGATTATTCAGTAATAAATTTGACTGAAGAGTAAAAAAAGGGTCTTACATGTACCGCTAAAAGTTATACTTCTTTGCATTATTAAAAATAGTTTTTGATTCATGCAAATAATTAATTACAATTAAATAATCAAAGACTGAAAAGGAGTATTAAATCAATAAAGTTAGTTTACATTTGAAAAATTAATTAAATAAATATTTATTATTATTCTCTTACATTAAACAAATAAAAACTATTTATCTTTAAAAATTTTTATTTCATTATACTATTTATTATTAAGTGACTCTAATGTCTTCATCAAATTTCGGTTTGTAATTTTAAATTGATCATTACTTGGTTGTGCATCTACGAGGCTTTCAAAATCTTCTTTCTGCAACAAATAAGAGAATATTAATTTAAGCTCTGTCCATCAAAACTTAAAATTTTTTATATTCATTTTATAAATTTTTAAACATTTATATTAATATAATTATATAAATGTGTTAATAATATAATTTGTAGCACATGCTACAGACCTGATAGCAACTTTCTTTTATTTTATTTAGAGATAGAGATAATTTAAATATAATACCGGTGTTTCCTTGTAGGTTTCTTTGGAGTTGTTTGGGGATTCTTGTTGTTCAGTTCGACATGATTTTCTTTAATTTCTTTAATCCTACAAAATATGAAATTGTTAAGTTATGTTGTCACTGTTGTAACCTTTGTTTGGCTTTTTAGTATTCAAGTTATGTCAAAACTGATTTATTACCTTGTATTGTTGGCTTTATTTGCTTTTGGGATATCAATTGTTTCCAAAATGATTTTATTTGTAATATCCTGAAATATATAAATAAATCTTTATTTAAGTATATGGTGAGTGGTTCGACTCAGGTATTAAGGTGTATTATACCCACTTCATTATAAGTGGGAATGGGCTCACTTCTGGAGAAGTTTCGGTACTACAAGTGCAACATGGATGTTTTGAGTTATTACAATATCTCTAACTACCCTTAGGAATAAAGTAATTTGTAACATATGCCTATGCTGAAAGGTTGAACCTTGAATCACCTACATCATATTTATAATTAAATTCCTACCTCAACTCCATCAAATTCATTGAAATTACTTCAAACATTGTGTCTCGAGAAGGTGATGGTGGCTTTGTTCCACCTCCAGTTTTTGATGTTTCACGGCGATAAGATGACAACTCTTTTTTGTATTCAATTTAGTCATTCCACTGATTCATCAATTGTTTTTTGTCTCTTGTCCTTATATTTGCTAGATTAAATCTGATGTTTTGATTAAATAATTGGTCATTTTTTTGAGATGCAGGTACTTATTAAAATGTTTACTTCTCTGTTATATCGCTCAACCTTCATTTCTCCTTATTAGTATTCGTGCTTAAATCTTTGTTCTCAATTATTGATATATAGGGTCGTAGAATATTTCTAAAAAGTTGCTGTACAACCAATAAACAAAACAATTAATAATGGTTCATGTTTCAGTTTTAATCAACAATAATACTCGATAATACATACGGATAGTTACCTCAATGTATTGAAGCACTCAGGAAGGTTAGCACAGTTTTTCACAAATATTTTATATTATTTCACAAATATTTTGTATAATGAAATAATAGGTTTATTATTAATTTTAAACAATAATTAAAACTCTATATTTGTTTAAAAGGTAAATGTCAGAGATGTCAATTGTCATGGTCATTCAAAATTTGAATATGCGTAAGTTAGCTTCACCATTTTATTTCTTTTACTTGTAGTTTGTTTATTCCATCTCCCGCACCTATATCACACTCCAATTGTGTCATAGGTGCGCGCGCAATCTAAAATTTCACTCTCATCAATTTTTCATAACGCGCCTAAAGAAGTACAACAAAAATTAAGATACACTTATTAATATGTAAATACAGTAACAATGAGCAAATTGAATTGAAATTCGTGACTTTCGTTATTGCTTATTGTTTGTATTTGAAGTTGGAACAATCCATTAAAAAAATTTAATGTTTCAAAATATTTGCAAAATATACCTACCTAACATTAAAATTTACTAAATCTAGTGAGGAAGGCCTTAAAGTGGCAACACTGTGCCGATTGCGTGTAAGCCCGAAGCCGATGCGAGGGTGGATAGGGAGAACGGGGGAAATGAATGGAATGGCCGACAGTAGGGTGACCGTTTTTACACGTTTTTCTTTGAAATTAGTAGGAGATACGTTCAGCACGTTTTGTTATAGCCGTGATGTAATATACTTTATTAAACAGGTATCTACGAGCGAGAATCCTTTAAATGTTCATCATGTATAATTTTTATACATATACAAATTAATAATGATAAATAAAAAAACAGGCACATAACATTATAAAATACTTTCATGAATTGTTTTTTGACTTGAAAGCAAACTTTCTGTCTTTGATAATATTTCAGCACATTTTTATTTTATCATGTTTCGTAATTACTGTTTTCTTGTTTATTTTTTTATCATTTCAGATTGGAACACAGATCAACACAATAAATAGAACATGTTACTAACTGCAATTATAATTATCTCGTTTCTGTGACGTTTTCCTTTGATTATCTGCAAATTGCTGTGAAATGTGGTGACCCCCTTACGTTAAGTTTCTACTACATGTTGTTCTCGTAATGAACGACTTAACAATATTAAGTTTAAACAAAGTTAGCACATAAGTGTCCGGTAGAAATAGTGCCTCTGTTTTATTCGCAAAGTTAACTTTACAGAATTAAAAAATTCTACAGAAAATCATGCAACGGCTTTCGAACTAGACTGAACTTCGCTCTCTGTGTAGATTTTATAAACAAAACAATACGTATATGTAATTAGTTTAATAACTTTAACGGCCTTAATATCAGCCGTCCTTTAAAAATTATGAGACACAACGAGAGAACGGTGGGATTAAGATACAAATGTTAATTTCCGATTAATTAATGATTGATGATTTGAGGGCAGTAAAATACCTTTTTAAGCTCGCCAGTCACCATTCGTTATAAGGTGATTTGTATAAATCTTAAATATATTGCAGTAAAGTTAAACGGGTAAGTCTGTCACCCATCAGTAGGCTTCTATTTCGTTATAGTGTCTGTTGCTTTAGTTTATATTCATAAAAAACTTATTAAATATATAGATAATATTTCTTAATGAAGCTAATAGAAAAACAATCGTCACATAACCTATAGCATTTTAAAGAAGCACTTAATTTTTGTATAATAACATTACGTCACTCTTTACGTGCGTACTCAATCACAAACAAAACAAATTCATGCAATACTAATGGGAGTACTAGGGGAGCGTCCCTCTGTCCATTCCTTTGACACCCTCCCTAAACTGAAAGTTATGGGCATACACTAGCTAAACAATGGACAAAGAAAAAATTTCATCATCTAGGCATATATTGAAAATTATATCATCTGTTTGTTTAATACTGAAGCTTAAATTTTCGTTGTCATTCATTTCTTTTATTACCAAATTTACCTATAATATACATTAATACACATATAATTGTATGTCGTTTTTATACTCAGGTTATATTATTTCTTAATATTTAATAATAAGTAGATAACGACATCTTTAGAGTTACCATGAAATATTTATAACATTTATAAACTACATTGTACTTAAGATGTAAAAGAAGTTGTACAGATGGCAGTATGTTACATTACATTATAATACATTACTTTGGTTTTTTTTTGGAGTTTATGGCCTTTAGACCAACATTAATTTATAAATATACTATACATTAATGCTATACTATACATTAATCTATACTATGCACTTACCACAGTCCACACGACTGTTGATTATACAATACCAGTAACTAAATCGATTTAATATTTGTATGTATGTAAATACATTATGATGTCATTGAAGTACTTAGTCATAATCTTATACACATTACTCGCTGATCCGGCAAACGTCGTTTTGCCATGTTTATCATTTATAATAAAAAATAGGAATTGATCGTAGAGGGGTGAAAATTATTATTAATTAGGGGTTGTATGTATTTTTTAATGCTGTATTATAAAAAAATAAAGAATAATTTTTTTATCTAAAATTTAAAAAAAAATTAGGGGTGGACTACCCTTAACATTTAGGGGGATGAAAAATAGATGTTGTCCGATTCTCAGACATACCCAATATGCACACAAAATTTCATGAGAATCGGTCGAGCCGTTTCGGAGGAGTTTAACTACAAACACCGCGACACGAGAATTTTATATATTAGATATTGCGACCAAGTAAGGATTTATAAAAAATGCAATTAAACAGTTTGCTTAATATTTTTGTACCACAATATTATAGTGGAATTTAAATTTACAAAAGAAAAATATTTAAGAAAGATAAAGCGGTAAAGTCTTAAAACTTTAGCCTGGCCGACCGGCTAGTAACAAAAAAAAAGTTGTCAAATCAAACGTCAATGTCAGTTGTCAGTTGTCACTAGGGTCTAGGACTAGGAGTCCTAGTCTAGGACTCATCTCAAGATCTAGTCCCGACCTCCCTTTATTTTTTATAATAGTACAACTGGAAATCAAAAAAGTTCTTTTGTATTAAATTATTATCAAATCTCTAGTTTGACTGTGGAAGTACACTAAATTTACTATTCACTTGCATAAAACACAAAGCTTATCATAAAGATAACGTTGAAATTGAATACATAGTTTTGCAGTAATACTTTTGTATGTCATAAAGAATTTTATACATTTAGAAACGGTAAGCCACCTGAATTAGTTTTGTTCGTGATAATGTCTGATTGCGGCGACAGTGACGCTGGTTGGATTTTCTACAAGGATAGACCAGATTGGAATGACATTAAACCAGTGCCAGAAGATGATGGACCATCGCCAGTAGTTGTGATTGCACATTCAGAAAAATGTAAGTACGTCATGCTAGAAGGTAAATAATTATAGTAAAAGTATAGTTGGTTATTTTTGCTTATATCATCTATCACATCAGGTAAAAAGAAAAAATAATATAATATATAGCTTTATGATAGCTATTTAAGGATACAAATAATAACAAAATCGTCAGATTATATTAATTACTTTCACTATTGATCTTTTAATTGTGAACAAAATCCACCCAACATTGACAACAAAATAAAACATTAAATATTATTTAATGTTATTTCAGTTTAAAATTTAAATATTATTTCAGTTGAAGATGTGTATGACTACTTCCGTGCCATACTACAAAAAGATGAAAAATCACAGCGTGCCTTAGAGTTAACTAAAGATGCAGTGGAGCTGAATTCTGCTAATTATACAGTTTGGCAGTACAGGTATGTTCATGTAAAAATCAACCCTACTTCAAATAAGTTTGTAGTGATAAAAAGTAACAAAAATAAGAATTAATTATTTGATATTATAAAATATAATAATTTTAATGATTGGAAATGTTACAGGTAAGACTGTTATATGAATTATAGTTTTAATGAGAGTCATATAATATTACACTGAAGAAGTAGCTTAAAACTGCCCTTACAGTTTAGTTCAGGGTTCTTGAGTTTTTAAACATTACATCTACATATAAATTAATATGTACCAAATTGATTCAAAACAATAGTTTATGCTCAATGTTATATTTCAGTCTTTAAACCATAGAGAAATTATAAGAAAGTATAGGTTTGAATTAACATACCGATAATAAAATGGGGTTAGTCCAAACATATGCAAATAAAACAGACTTATTTGTATTTTTTCAAGATTAGCATTCTGTGCCCTGAGCAGAAGGAAGCTCTTCCGTAAACCAAATGTGATTTTAAAATATTATATTTTTATATTATCTGTCTGTTTGAAATTAAATCCTAGGACCTAGAATGATTTTTTTAAATGCTTAAAATTCTGTAATATTCCAGACGAGAGCTGTTAAAGGAATTGGGCACGGATCTCAGATCTGAATTGGACTATGTTGAATCTGTTATCAAAATATCACCTAAAAACTATCAAGTAAGTTTAATTGTAAAATGAATTTCTTCATGATCCTAGGAGAGTGAGAGATGTTTAATCCTTGCTAGTTTGTAAATAAATATAAGGGAACTCTTAGAATCTGCAGAGGGGGAATATCATGTGTCTGTTTCGATAACAATTTCAGATTATTCTACTGACTGCAACTGATTATTGTATTCCTGGCAATTCAAACCCCAAATTCTTAAAATTTTTCAGGTGTGGCATCACCGACGGGTGTTGGTTGAATGGCTACAAGACCCTTCCCAAGAATTAGATCTGACTGGTGAGGCACTGCTTCATGATCCAAAGAATTATCATGCCTGGCAACACAGACAATGGGCCATTAAGTCTTTCAGGTAACTTAACTTTTATGTTATCTACTTCATAAGTTAAGTCTCACTTCAATCTTCTTTCAAAAGTTGTTTGAATTTTTTCTATTTGAACTTTGTCTGACAGTGTTCAAGCAGGGATTGTAAGTTGAGAAATCTTTTGGAATACGGGCCGTAAGACAGGCTGATTTCTTACAATCCTATCAGCATAAAAGCAAGATAATTGCAAACAACAATTATTGGTATACAGCTGGAATTTGAATCCACAACCTTAACCACTAGGTCAACAGCTTGTACAGTATTTTGTTTAAGCTGGTGACTTTATTGTAGCCAATAAAGCGTATCTTGTAAAAAGATTGCCTCACGTACTGTTTGCTAATCTAGATAAGAATATTGTTAAGACAGACAAATATATGAGATAAATGTTAAGCAGTTATCTCTGGAACTACTGAACTGATTTTAAAAATGGTATCATATATTCACATCCTTTATTAATGTAAGTAAACTTTACCTTGATTTTTTTTTCATTAAGAAACCTTTATTACTTAAATTAAACGGCCTTATCTAATTATTAAAGTTAATATACTAAAACATTGGAGAATTAGAATATAGTTTATTAATTTATTTATCATTTTAATGAATTGTATATTGTTTGTTCTGAAATAGCAAACAATTATTTAAACTAATCATCAACAAGGACAAAAAATAGTGTTTGTTGTAAAAGCTATTTGTCAAAGGCCGATTTCAAGATCTTTTTTTTGTTCAAAAAGTGGCGTCTTGCAGGGACGTATAGCGTTCGGGATGTGGGCTATTTTATACTCGAGCTTTTTCTTTCCCTTTTCGGAACTCGTGCGTTCTCTTTCCCAATTGTCAAAATAATGTATATTAAAAAGAAAAACCAACCACGAAGTTTTTACTGTAAAAATTATAGAAGTTTTTATGATTCATGCAAATATTTCTAAAAAATAATTTAATCGATTTAAATTTAAGGTTTAAAACTAATTTGTGTCAATATCAGATTTAATGATTTGATTCAATGAGTTAGGTTAGGTTTCATTTCATTTCATTCAATTTCATTTTCATTTCATATCTACTGAAGACTTGGCTGTATGGGCATAGTTCCCTTTGCCTACCCAGAATGGGTGAAGAAAACATTAAAAAAATCTCTGCTTATATTCTTTTACGGTTCGCGCCATTTTACGAGTTTAGTTGTTTGTTATATTATATATTAAATATACATTGAACAATCATACGAAATAAATAATAGCTTGTCTCAAACAGTAAATATGCAACCTAAAACTTCCCCAGTTAGTATAAAAAAGTGCACCAATTTCAATGTATATGTGAAAGTCAAAGTCAAAAGTCAAATCGTTTATTTCAATTAGACCATCTAAAATGGCACTTTTGAACGTCAAAAAAAAAATATAAAGATGATTCTAGTTGCCCCTTCCAAAAGGTAGTTTCGTGTGGAGAAGAATGGGCAAGAAACTCCACACTTACTCTTTTAAAATAGGTTTACAATATTTTGTTACATTTGTTAAATAATTATATGTGAAGACAATGTACTCTTAGAATAAACTACTATACTAAAAAGTTAGTATACATGTTCCTCACATATTTACAAATATCGAAACCTTAGAATATTAACATTAAAGAGTAATAAAAATATTAAAAAAACACAACAAAACAGTGTGTGAGATACAAAAAAAATAATTACATTTGTAGCATTATATAAATTAAAAAAAAAAAATAATAATAATAATAATAACAAAAATTAACATATTTTTTTTTAGCAAAAAATCAGCAACCAATTTGATTTTGTCCAGGCTATAGAGCCAATCATAGGATTGTCCTATGGAGCAGGACCAGCATGTTTCCAAGCATTCTTATCTTGAATATAATCATCTAATTTGTAATATGCTTGTTTACAAAGTGTACTTTTAATAAAACATTTAAATTTTCGTTCATTTAGTTTTAAAATGTCACAAGGTATTTTATTGTAACATTTCACACAGTACCCCATAAATGAATTTTGAACTTTGGCTAATCTGAAAGATGGTTGAGCTATTTTATCTTTATTTCTAGTACTAAAATTATGTCTTTCATTTATTTTACTAAAAAGATGTAGATTCTTTCTTACATACATAATATTTTCATAAATGAATTGGCAAGGTACTGTCATAATATTAATCTTTTTAAATAGTTCCCTGAGAGATTCGCAACGACGTAGATTATAAATGGCTCTGACCGCTCTCTTTTGCAAAATAAAAATGGATTCTATGTCAGCAGCCCGACCCCACAGTAAAATGCCGTAAGACATTATGCTGTGAAAGTAGCTAAAATAGACCAAACGCGCAGTTTCTACATTGGTTAAATATCTTATCTTTCTAACCGCATAAACGGCTGAGCTCAGCCGCCCCGCAAGAGATGTGATATGAGGTCCCCATTGTAACTTCTCGTCTAGCGTGATGCCTAGGAAAACCGTTTGATTAATAAATTCCAGTTTTCCTTCATTCAACATTATGTCACATTCCTTACTTTTAACATTTGGCAACGTAAATCTAATACATTTAGTTTTTTTATCATTCAGTGCCAAATTGTTTACCGTAAACCAATTTTGGACCCGAAGAATAGAGTTATTCACGTCGTCACGATTTTGTGACCGTCGATCTACTTTAAAAATCAATGATGTGTCATCTGCAAATAACACCATCTTCGGTTTATTCTGAACTAATTGGGGTAAATCATTTATGTATACTAAAAAGAGGAATGGACCCAATATTGAACCCTGAGGAACGCCCATTGTAATTTCAGACCCTAACGAGTTTATGCCGTTAACCTGAACTTTAACCTGTCTGTTTTTCAAGTAAGATCTTAGTAAGTCCAGAGCTTTGTTCTTAATCCCGTAGTGATTAAGTTTCAGCAGAAGAGTCTCATGGTTTACGCAATCGAACGCCTTCGAAAGGTCGCAAAAGATTCCAATGGCATCTTGTGCTTCCTCCCAAGCGTTAAAAATGTTCTTGATTAGGGAGACACCGGCGTCAGTTGTACAACGCCCTTTGGTGAAACCGTACTGTTGTTCATGAAAGATGGAGTTTTTATTAAAGTGACATAACATTTGATTGAGCATTAACTTTTCAAAAACCTTACTGAGAGCTGGCAGAATTGACACAGGTCTATAATTATTGGGTTCTTTACTATCACCGGATTTGAACAACGGAACTACTTTACTGTGTTTCATGAGATCCGGAAAGACTCCTTGGTCTATGCTGGTGTTAAATATGAAAGCTAAATAAGGCGCAATAGTTTCGATGATAGAACTACAGACTTTTACAGACAATCCCCAAAGATCTTCTGTAGATTTAATTTTAAGATCTTTAAAAGCTTTCATAACAGCCTGGGGGTTTGTATATTGAAATCGAAACTCCGTAGGGCATGCCCTTACATTCTTCGTAAGTAACGCAAAATGTGAATTATAAATTATAATTATAGGTATTTAGGTAATTATAGGTAGACATTTGTCGGAACTCTTTGCAATGACAGGCTTTCCGCACTCGTAATGAAATATGTATACTATTTAGTATGCGTTTGGGTGGCAGATGGTTTAGATTCCCAAATCAGCCCGACTGACCGGCGCTGCATTCGGTACTTTCATACTTCTTTTAATATCAATTGATTTGTTTAATCGCTTGAAATATGCAGGACAAAGTCTGTCGGGTACGCTTGTGTTTGTATAAATTTACTAACATAATAAAAAATTATATATAAGATATTAATACATATTTTAAAATTTTAGTTTAACCAATGATTTAAAATTTTCAGGCTTTACGACAAGGAGATCGAATTCGTCGACAGCCTCTTATCAGACGACGTGCGGAACAATTCCGCGTGGAATCAGCGCTACTTTATCCACAACAACCACACGGGCTGGTCGGATTTGAACGTGCAAAAGGAGATTTGCTATACGTTAGAAAAAATTAAATTTGTCAAAAACAACGAGAGCGCTTGGAATTATCTCCGCGGAATATTGCTTCACGACAAACGCGGACTCAATGGAAATGGTGTAGTTACGTCGTTTTGCGAGGAGTTGTACAAGAACCGATGTCGGTCGCCATTTTTGTTGGCGTTTATTATCGACGTTTGCGAGGAGGCCATTAAGAAAAATGAGACGAATAGTTTCCATAATGTCGAGAGGGCGAAGGAATTGTGCTCTGCGCTTGCGACGAAATATGATAAGATTAGGGAGAAGTATTGGACGTATTTGAGGGATCGATTCGAGAAGTATGTTAGTGTTAATGGGGAGAACTCGCAATAAAATATTGTTATATGAAGAGTTTGAATGTCCTTTATTCATATTTTATAATATATATGTATCTCAGTGCGGTTAACATAGGTTGGTATTATCAGTCAGTGTTTGTGAGTATTTTTTATAATTAAGAAAAGCTATCAAATTTCTGGGTCGAATTTCTTATAAAAACAAAACAATTCGTGTAAAAAAATCTTTTTAACTGTCATGCTCCTCCTATATCGAATTAAAAAAATATTACCCTGAATTGTATTGTTTTTATTTGAGCTTTTTAAAACGACAATCTCAAATAAGATTCCAATGAAGCTTATAGCTATAACAATACATATAACTATAACAAAAACCCCTTTATTATTCAAAAGGAAATCAGTCTAATTGCAATCATAATACTTTGCTAAGTTCTTTCGTGTCTTTCTGCCAAATTGTGTTTACTCTGTTACTTAAGCTAAAACAAAGAAATTACATTGTTTTTCTACTTGTTGTCAAAGAGAAAAAACTGATGGTTCTGTCAAATATACATCAATACGCAGTTTTTGACAGTTCCTAGATCTATCCACTTATACTAGTCGGATGATTATTCCTTTTAGTTTTGAATACGACTACGAAGCGCTGATTAAGTTTCTATTTAAATTGTTGTTGTTAAATTGTTAAACGTCTTGTTGCTAATCAAATCAAATCAAAATATCTTTATTCAAGTAGGTAACCAAGTACACTTTTGAATCGTCAAGTTAAATTAATTAAATTTAATTTATACCAGTTCCAAGTCAAGGGTAGAGCGGGTAAGAAGAACTAAGAAACTTTCCGCCACTCTTTTTAATCGCCAAGTATTGTCATACAAATTGTTTGAATGGAGAATTCAATAAGGATTAGGATATTTAAGTAGTCTCAAATTTATAAAAAGTTTGTTGATTAATTTTCGTTTAAAGGCTTTGAATTTATTTAGTGATAATTCTCTAATTTCCTTGGGAGCTTGTTGTAAAACAATACAATTTCATATAAGGAGTGGTTTATCTTTTGGAGCCTGGTTGGTCGTACACTAAATTAGTTCTATTTCGCGTATTATATGGTGAAAGTCACCATTTGTTTTAAAATGTTTATATTTTTTTGGACATACAACAAGGCTTCAAGAATATATTGACTAGATAGTGTCATAATATTTAATTCCTTAAACTTATTCCTACACTCCCTCGGAGAAACAACAAATACCCCGAACAGCCCGCTTCTGCAGCACAAATATGGATTGAACCTCTGCAGAGCACCCACAGTAAAATTCCGTAGAATAACGCTATGAAAGTAGCTATGGTACACAATTTTAGCCGTGTCCTCATCAGTAAATTGGATTTTCTTTACTGCATATGCTGAGAGCCAGCTATTCAAAGAGTCTCTATGTGGGCCCCATTGAGTTTACTATCTATTGTTATGCCTAGAAAAACAGTTTTGTCAACAAAGTTTAGTTCACTGTCCTTAATTTCAGGTTACCAATATCTCCTTTACGCTAGTAGTTGTAAATCTAATAATTTTGTTTTATTCTCATTAAGCAATAAGTTATTTACATTAAACCATTAACTATACGAGAGATAGAATTGTTTACATCGTCCAATAATACGTTATTCTATTCACTTTAAATAGAAGTGAAGTGTCATCAGCAAACAATACCATCTCATGAACTTCGTTGACAAAGAATGGGAGGTCATTTATGTAAATAGAAATAAGAAAGCCCAGAACGATCCTTGGGGAGCCCATTGATACCGCGAACGAGAGGTGACTCCATTGATATGAATCTTTGATCCTTCCCTTTAAATATGAATTCATCAGGCTGGAAGCTTTGCCATCAACATAGTGTTGAAGCTTTCCAAGAGTATATCAGGATGAACACAGTCAAAGGCCTTTGACAGGTCACAAAAGACGCCGACTCCATCATATGATTCTTCCCAGGCGTTAAATATGTCCGAAATAACTTCACACGGATCGATTGTGGAGCGACCCTTAGTGAAAATATGTTTATTATGTAAGAGTTTATTTTTATTAAAATGTAAAGAAAGTGGTCTAGCATTATCTTTTCAAAATTTGCTCAACGCAGGGAGTACGGAAAAGGTCTGAAGTTTGACGGATCAGACTCACTACCGGCCTTGAACAAGGTGTAATCTTACTTAATTTCATTTCGTCCGAAAGATCCAAATCGATAATCTGTTAAAAATTATAGAAATTAATATTACATTAATAACTAAGACCATTATAAAACTTTAAAAATTACATCTCTTATTCCTAAGAGATTTTCGCTTTGAAAATAAATTAAAAGTGACATTATACTTTATTTATTGAGTCTTTCAGTTTAAAATAAATTATTGTACAAGTTACTTGCCTAAAACAGTATTCGCAAAAGTCGTCTACACAGTCAAAACGACATTTTGAAATTCTAATTAAAAACTAGACATTTTTACATTGAAATTTGGTTCGTTTTTTTGCCGTATTAACTGGATATTTTTTAATAAAACAAAAGTTATGGTAATACATTATTTTCATAAGTGCACAGTATATAATTATTGGTAAGAAATGATATCGACGTGAAGTAGAACTTGGAATGCGGACATCATTCTTTGATTACTTGATCGTTTATGTTTAAGTCTCTTCTGGTTTGTCTTTGCCTAATTCGACTCTCTTATCTGCCAAGCTAAGGTTCATATGAACGTGTGACCGCACAGCCCTTGCAACGACCTCGCAGTCGCAGTCACTCGTCTTCCTCATCACGTCGAGAATGCTTGGTCTCGGAGCTGGTTCTGGTTTCTTTTTGGATTTTGCTTTTTTACCCTAATCACATAATTAAACATTGAGACTAGATTTTTTACTATTTTTATATGACTCAGCATTTGGGTTAAAAATAGTTAAAACGGGAGGGAGAGAAGTGAGAACGCAGTATGATAAATAGAAATATCATAGCCTACCAACATACATGTTTATGTATAGGTCAATGACTTCTGTGATTCCATTATTAATTCCTGCCTTCTAATGAGATGTCAATTTATCTTTATACCCAGACTAGCTTGTGCCAAACTTGAAGAATTACGATTTTCTATACAACGTACAACTTGCACCACGAAAGATGAGCCTGGATACGTCTGATTCGAACATAGTAGATTCAAGCTAATAAAAGAGGGGCTTGTAGAGTTGAGTGTTATGAGGTACATGCATGCCCGAAATCTCTACTGGAGTTTGGCAGCGCCCATCTTTGTGGCGCGAGTCCTGCATCCATTTTACTCATATATACATAAATGGAATTGCCAAAAATATAATGTGGGCTCCCTCAGTGATTTATAAAAAGCTTTTCATAAATTGTTACATTTAGACTTTACCGATTTTTCGACTATGAAAAATGTTATTTACCTTACTCGAGTCGGGTGTTTTATTTTCTTTGTTTTTCTTCATTTTATGTTTATACAGTTGTTATATTTACGATAAATTGGAACATTTCATCATTCTTTTAATTACACGAGTATAGGAAATTATACTAAAGAATTTAGAAATAATTTGTATATTCAAAACTATGTCAAATTTGAATTTTGAAATGACTAACAACAATCACAGAATATTAATAAACAAAATACATTATTATTCTTGGTATTGTATATTCATTTATGAATACTCTAAACTGCTTAGTATTCTAGTAATTAGTAGTTTTAGTATTCTAGGTTTCAACATCGTAATGTTACAATTCAACCAAAATTTGTTTGTTCTTTTCAAATAAATCGCACCAATCATCGCCTAGAGATATAGCGCATCATATTAAAGCCTACTAAGCTATCATAGTAATAGGTACCGTTCAAAACATTCGTGGAAAAAATCATAGAAGAACTATTAGGTTCTAACTATTAGGTAGGTAGGAGAGAAATGTGAAGTTTTCATGAGAAAACTCTTAACATTTCGAAGGGATATCCAGACTAACTTTCTGTAGAAAATATTTAAACTATGCCTTGTAATATTTTCGCATCTGCATTCGCATTAGGTATTTCTCTGTGGCTTAATCCATAAATAAATAAAAAAATATTTTGTGCATTATATAATATGGTTCCTTTGAAGATTCGCATATTTATACAATAAAGAATGTGTTAATTTAAAATGTAGATAATACAGTCGGTGTATTTTTCATAAAACCAAGATGTGGAGTTCACTTTCAATTTGTCAAGACGAGGAGTTCATCCTAAAACGGCTTAAGAAACAATTAGCCAGCATTTCCTGCAAGTGTAAGATATGTGAAAAATACAACGTAACTTCATTTCACAAAGATATATGTATTACAAAGAAATCTAAAGAACAGTGTCGACCAGTTGAAGAAACCACAAAATCTGCTCAAATACCTTGTCCTGGATGCTTCGTCGCCTACAATTTACTCAAACGAATAGACAAAACTTTTAAAGATGAAGAGACTGATGCTAATCTAGCTAAGTTTTCTTCGGACAAAAGTATACAAAAAACTATATCAGGCCTTGACAGAACCACATCTGTGACAAAGAAATCTGTCACATATTCTGATACTCTTATTACAGACATTCTTAATGAAACTGGTTTATATGAAGAAAACCATAAATACATTGAGGAAGCTAACCTCATCGGTCATCAAAATGTTGGCAACTGTTTGTGCTTGGAAAACTTCATTGATTCTATTAGGCCCCCTCTTAAGTATTCCCAATATTGACGTTTTATACAAAATACACCGGTTTAATATTTTGTTTTGTTTGTGAATTCAAGTTCAAGACATTCAAGTCTTGTCACCACCAGTATAGTATGTTGTAGATACATTCCATAACCCTGATAAGGTAACCTTACCATACAACAATCTTTTGAACTGAGCTAAAGAGACAATCAACTATTTGTGTAAGAAACTATACCTAACCTAACGGTTAATGTTTGTAAATGAAAGTAGGTATTAAGTAATCAGTATTAGTTTTACAAATATATATATTCTTAATAACATAAACAATACATTTTATACATATAAAATAGTAATTAATTACTTTGCAGCATAATGTTTTATAAATCTCGCCGATGGATCAGAAACTGAAACCCACTTCGGCATCCAGTAATATGGTGTAAAGTTATCTTGTCCAGAGAAGGACTTTTCGAAAATGTACCTATAATATTTAGATTCTTGCGTTGTGGGCTGTACACCTTTGTATTTATGTCCCTCTGATGGCAGCCGTTCCGTAACAATCTCTGATATTGTTGTAAATAAAGACTTCTTTACCGACGCCACACCATCACTAAAAGCCTCTTTATGTCTCCATAAAATTGAATCCGGCAATAAACCACTCTTAGAAAAGCTATTTCTTAAAAGATACTTTTCAACGCCATCTTGTGGTTGTCTTAAGTTTTGATCTAGACTTAGATAATGACTAGTAAACTGTATATCTAAAAATGGCACACGAAGTTCCAGGCTCCAAGCACTCGTTGTTCGATCTGCTCGCAAGCCATCATATAAATAAATGTCTGAAAGCAATCTTATACTTTCTTCATGGCCATCTTTAGCTGATGGAGCGTCCCTGAAGTAAATGTAGCCTTGGGCTAATTCATCGGCGCCTTCGCCGCTGAATATTACGGTGGTATCAGTATTTTCTTTAATATATTTTGATAGAAGATACATAGGCAAGCTGGCTCGAACGGTAGTGATGTCATAGGATTCCAGATGATAAATTACGTTATCTAATGCTTGTCTGACATCATTTTCATCGAAAATTATTTCGTGATGTTCTGTTCCCAGATAATCAGCAACTGTTCGTGCGGCGATAAGATCAGGAGAATCTCCCATACCTATTGCAAATGTCTGTATCTTGTATGGAAGGTTCTGTTCTTTAGCAAGCTTGACAACTAAAGCAGTTATGAGTGACGAGTCCAAACCTCCACTTAACATACAGCCTATTCGCCTGTCAGACATTAAACGCTTTTTGCATGCTGCTTCTAATAGTGCAGCGGTTTTTCCGTACATATCAAGTTCTTCGAGATCAGTTATGGGAACAAAAGGTGTAAATCTAGGCGGTGATCCAGGTTTAAAATATTGTTCAGTTTTGTTTAATGTTACTTTGTTGTTATCTGCTATATCGTACTCTTCAAAATGTCCCGGTGGAAATTGTCCAAGTGTTGCAACTTCGGAAGCTTTTTCTTTTAAGCCCATTAAGCCTTTGCCCTCTGAACATACTCCTAGTACGCCGTTCTTTTCGTCGCTAAGTTTAAACAGAGGGCGAACTCCGTAGGGATCCCTCGCAATGAAGACTTTTCTGGCGTCACCATCGACTAGACAAAATGCGAACACTCCATCTAATTTACGGACTGTTTCAGCGATTCCAAAGTTTTTGTAACAGTGGATAATCGCTTCTACGTCGCAGTTGGTTTCGTACGTGAATTTAAATTCGTCGCGGAGCCTGTTGCAGTTGTATATTTCTCCGTTGCAGATAAGAGTGATGCGGGGGTAGAGATGGAGGCGCATAGGCTGCATTCCATGAAGGCCATCGACAATTGCCAGCCTTTGAAATCCAAGGATAGCCAATTGCTCCCTGGAATCCTGTTCAATTCTCCAAGCGTCGGGACCGCGGTGTAAAATAGCCGCGAAACATTTGATGCATACCGGAGAAAGACCACCGTCTATTCCAAATGTTGCCCAGATTCCACACATTTTTCTGAAAAACAAAACAAGTATTACAATTTTATGACTTCTTTGTTCACGTGGTAGGCAAAAAATAGTAACTAACGCGAATCTCTTTAAACAGCTGGTTAACATTTTGATTCGTAATTCATAATGTTCAAAAATATATTCATGTCATGGTCAAATCAATCAATCTATTAAATAAATTACCTACCGAAAAATATTACCTTGTTTAAACGTATTATTTTTTATTAATATTTCACATTCACACGAGCTTACGTATACAAACTATTTAAGGTTCTATTTTTCGTAAAATTATTAAACAACTAAGATACATTTCTTTTTCATATACAATTTTGCAGCGTTAATATTAATTAGTATTAAAAAAGAAATACCTTTGTATTTAGTTATCTGACTATTCTAACACGTCGCCGATTCTAATAAATTAATTCAACACAACCAATCAGTATAATAGTCAAAGAATTACTACCGCGAAACGCGAACACAATACTAGCCGGTCGATGTAAGCGTGCTAAATTATAATACGAGTTTCCCATAGTGATAATGTTCGTGGTTGAAATTGAGGTTGAGTCACGGAAAACTGGACTTTATTTATAGCAGTCTACAACGTGGTGAATATTCGGCACGATTGATGATACTTTTCGCGACAGACAGAGTTAAAAATATTACCAACGGCGTGTGCAAGCAGGTAAGCGAATATTGGACATAGAATGTGTGGATTGCATCATCCTTCACTTAATTGTCAATTGTCAAGTTCACGGAGGCGGGAGGAATTAAACGCCTTAACCTCATAGGCATGAGGCAAGGTTGTAAGACAAAGAAAATGACAGTTTGTGTCGAAAAATTTTCATACAGATTTAGTTTTCGACTTTCTATATATGTATACTACTATCTTGACTAAACCCCCCAGGACGCAACCGGGGCAGAGTTTTTTTCACGAATTCCTAAAAAAACTTTATCAAAAGAAAGAAATAAATTATAATTCAGCGGCAAAGAAGACAACTTTTTTTGTAACAAGATCATTTTTTTTTATATTCATATTTTCATATTATTCTAAGAACTTTGTTTTTTAGGTAGTTTAATAACGGAACTGCTGATCATAACAAAATTTTGCGGAAATGTCTTGTATTAGTATACTATGTATTGTTATTCTCTTTCTTTTCTTTACTAGTTGATGTTGGAATTCAGTGGGATGAAAAAATAATAAAATTTGCGCCTACAATAAAATGTATAGCAATGCTACGTTACGAACATATTGCTTTGAAGTTGTGTAAAGATTGTGTATTATCGCTTCTAAAGTCAATAAACTCGTTTTAGGCTCTGGTTATAACTATATGTCAGAATATTTTTAATTTAACAGCTTTAGAAACGAGGTTTACATTTAATTGCGATTCTAGATTACGGGCATAGGTTTGTAAACCTCATTTACAGTGATAGTGGCTTCCAAAAGATTAATTTTAAAGCTTCTAAAATTTTTTTTGAATAAAAACAAGCTAGTTACAGATGTAATTAATAACCAAATATAGGGGAAGGTCGGGCCCCTCCTTACGGTTTTCACATTTTCTTTTTTTCTTTTTCCATGAATCAATCATCTGATAGCTTAAATTTATAGTACTAACTAGCTGAGATTCGTATTAAAAAATTGACAAACTTATTTCATCTGAGGTTTCCAGAGACAAAAATCATTGATTCAAACTAAATTACTGAATACCGAGCGCGAAAACACGTCCATGCGGGTAACTTCGTACAGTTGGATTCATATTCTGTAGTAAAGTAGTTAAACTTACGTGCAATTAAAATGGCACTTATAAATCAAAATTCATTTTTGCAATGAAATTAAACACAAAAAAAATGTCAACTTCTATTAAACAAACAACTAAAATATTTTCTTATAGTGAACAAAAGTGTACATAGCTTTCCTGGCCAGTATAAACAAACATGTATTTATTGGTATCTTAAATTTAGAACCACATTTTTAAGACTTTGTTGCCCAGATGGGTAGCCGACGTTCTTATTTTCGGGTGTGGCAGTATAAATTCGTGGTTTTGCACGGCCTAGTCGTCTTTTGTTTGTTTCTATTACTTCTACACATGCGGATAGGGTCAGAAATGTATTCTGGTATCAAACCGACTTCGAAGGAACTACTATTTGAGTGGATTCGGTAAATTATGCAATGCATCTGGTTCACAAGCATCAAAGTTAACCTTAATAAAGATAATAAAGAATAGCTATTAATTATATTTACTCGACGATACATCGATTAGCAACACAGGACAAATTTCATCAAATATCAGCAATTATCTACAGTAATACAATCTTCCTACCTACCAGAGGGTTTGAGTCCAAGATGCCTTAACAGTAGTGTGTCTAGCAGTCGAAACTTTTGTATGATAATAACAGTTCATGTCGACAAAATAGCTGCAGACAAATTTAGTTGTACATTTCGTTCAAATGTGCCCCATCTAGTGCGTGCCGGTCTACTGAATAACAACAAAATACATATAACTAATTTTAATGTTAATAGGAAAACGTCATACATTAAGTATTGGAGACGTTCTTAAGTATATTTTGCTAGTTACTTATAGCAATACATTGCACGAAACCTTATTTTATCTCGGTAACCAGAGACAAAAACATTGTCATTAAAATATTTTTCGAATGCCGGAAATTACGTTGCCAACGTGCACTTTTTTCATATTCTGTAGTAAAGTATTTAAAATTAGGGCAATAACACATTGTATTGCAATTATTTAAAACTCTTTACTATAGATATTTACTAGACTAATTAAATTCGAATAAAAAAAAACAACGTGTAATTCTTATATTAAAAATATTTGATGTTAACGTTCATTGTAGTATTTTTTATTTCATTACCATATCTCCTCAGTCAAAATAAGTAGTTTTCGTTTTAAATAGTAATTTGTTTACTGTGAGTTATGAAATTTACATAAATTTTTATAAAGATTTCAAACTCTTAGAGACACATATTTTGTAACTTTTTGTACGTTATGCAAATATGGTGATTTAGGTTTTGCGGCCTACTAATAATTGTATAGGTAACTGTTTTCTTCAAATAATATATAACGTTGAAAGGGCTCTTGGTCGTAAAAGTTTTACAAAAACTTAATTGAATTAAATACTTTAACACTTGATTTTACCTTCTTAGCGTCAATCATTTAAGAACAAAGGCTGCTGACGTCATTGAAGAACGTTTAATATTTGCAAACATCGTGTTTTCACGTTTTATTAGCCCGTAAATAATTTATGAATCACGAAAATTTACCTGTAAAGGCAGTTTTACACAATCTGCAGTAGTATTATTCCAGTTGAATTAACAGTAAGAAATCGGATCTGGCATAATTTAGTCTTTACTTACTTACACTTCACTAGCGATCGGAAACCATTGGCTAAACAAGAAAATGGAAGACTCATAAGCGTTTCTTTATTTAAACTTATTAATTACTTTAACAAACAAGAAAAGCGTAACTTAGGTGGATTTTATTATCTGTACTTCAAATAATTACAACTTAAGTTTATTACCATATATTTTCTTTACACAACATTTTGAAGTCAAGCTTCTTTTGAAATAGACATAGACATAACATTTATTACCAACAAAAACACACATAATAACAATAATCAAAGAAAAAAAAGTTATAATGAGAGATAACAATTTTCTTCCCTTTTCCCTTAAAGAACAAGGTTCGCTTCAAGTGTGCTATGTGTGTGTGCTGTGGTTGTAATTGGCCCTGGCTCAGCATTATGCTGAGGAGCAGAATGTTCCACAGCGCTGGTCATTCTGCCAGAGACCACAGCAGCTAGGTTGCGCCTCAGTCGCAAAAAAAGAAAAATAATGTAATAATACTTAGTAGAAAATAATAATATTAGTAAAAGGTAAAAGTTAAGATAAATTATACAATTATATTATTTGTTGGCAAAAAAACATGTGCAATCTGCCCTTTATAACCCTGCATTTATATTGAAAAGAATTAGATTATAATTGTAGTTAATTATTTATAATGAAATTGGCAGGTTTCTTCTTCATATTGGTGGCTATTTTAGCCTTTTTTGTTGGTAATGGGGATTGTTCACTTGGAAAAGCAGTAAAAACTGGCGTTAATGTGATTGTAAGTTTTGTAAATATATAAATAATGGAATTAATTATATTTTTATTTCCTTTATGTAAAAAAAATCAGTGACGCTTCAACTCTTTAGGTCTGGGGCTCTGATTTCTGTATCTGTTTCATGATCATTTTAGTAAATAATAGGCAAGTAGATGATCAGCCTCCTGTGCTTGACACACGACGTCGACTTTTTGGGTCTAAGGCAAGCCGGTTTCCTCACGATGTTTTCCTTCACCGTTTGAGCGAATGTTAAATGTGCACATAGAAAGAAAGCCCATTGGTGCACAGCCGGGGATCGAACCTACGACCTCAGTGATAAGAGTCGCACGCTGAAGCAACTTTATATAGTATATCTAAAAACATAATTTATAGATTACTTTTATTGAATTTAAATTAAATTAGCAATGTTTTTTTTTATATAAAAATTATTTTCTTTAAGTATATTATTTCGAAAAATTTATATGGTTAAATGCAATTGGAAATCCCTCTAATCTTGAAATCATTCTCAAACTTTCGTTTGTAGAAAGGCGCCGCCGGCGTCGCAAGTGCTGCTGGGACTGCTCACGAAATATATGAAGGTGTGAAGAACCATTGAACATGTATTATGTTTCAATTCTAAAAATATAATTGCGAAAATTAAGCGTTTTATTTCCAAAGACAAACCTATTTTATTCACATCGATATTTCACGTCTTCGGTCACGTGTGACGTCTTACATAAGATTCGACCCAAAAACTTCGGCTTTTCAATGCTTTATTATTAAAGCGAATCACAAATAAAACGAGTTGTTTATGCAAAGTCATAATAAAATTCAATGTTTCGTTCTCGCTGTAATGTTTCTGAGTAATGTTAATAAGTCAGTAAGTAATAAGCTTATTTTTCAAAG